TGATAAGAGTTGTATGAGCCCCTAATAAAACGATTAAAAAAAAAAGAAAATGATGATGGCAACATATGTACAAATGTGCTTCACAAAACTGATGGATGTATGGATTGTGATAAGAGCTGTATGAGACCCCAATAAAATGTTTTTAACAAGAAAAGAAAATATCATGGCTTGAGTCAAGCACACCTTAGTCTTCAAAGTAACATCATTGTTTTTCCAATACTTTAAAAAGGTCTTGTGCAGCAGATGTACCCAAAACAACTTGTCTTTTGATCCCTTGATTGCTGCTTCCATGAGCACTGATTGTGGATCCAAGCAAGCCAAAATCCTTGACAGCTTCAACCTTTTCTCCATTTATCATCATGTTACGCATTGGTCTACTTGTGAGGATTTTGGTCTTCTTTCCACTGAGTTGTAATCCATACTGAAGACTGCAATCCTTGATCTTCATCAACAAGTGCATCAAGTTATCCTCACTTTCAGCAAGTAAGATTGTGTCATGTGAATATCACAGGTTGTTAATAGGCCTTCTTCCAATCCTGATGCTACATTCTTATTCATATAATCCAGTTTTTCTAATTATTTGCTCAACATGCAGATTGAATAAGTTTGATGAAAGGACACAACCCTGTCACACACCCTTCTTGGTTCCAAAACATGCAGCATTCCCTGTTCTTTTTGCACAACTTCCTCTTAATCCATGTACAAGTTCCACATAAGCACAATGAAGTGTTCTGGATGTCCCATTCTTCTTAAGGTTATCCATAGTTTGTTATGATTCACATAGTCAAATGCCTTGGCATAGTCGATGAAACACAAATATCTTTCTGGTAGTTTCTGGCTTGAGCCAACACTCAACTGATATCAGCTATGATATCCCTTGTTCCAGTCTCTTGTGAATCTAGCTTCGACTACTGACAGCTCCTTGTCTACGTACTGCTGCAACCATTGTTGGATGAACTTCAGCAAAAGTTTACTGGCATATGAGATCAGTGATATTCTATACTTTGAGCATTTTGTTGGGTTACTTTTCTTTGGAATAGGTAAAAATATGGATATCTTCCAGTCAGTTGACCAAGTAACTGTCTTCCAAATTTTCTGGCACACATGAGTGAGTGCTTCCAATATTTCAATAGCTTGTTGAAATATTTCAATCGATAGCCCATCAATTCCTGGTGCCTTATATTTTTGCAGGTTTTTTTGAACTTCCACATATCTTCCAATTCAGTAGTTCGATTATATCAAGAGTAGTTATACAGTTAATACCACAATCAATTTTAGCATATTTTCTTTTTCCTTGAACTCATTATTAATATAAGTTTTACCTGTGACGAAAATATACACAACAAATCATTTACCAATTCTACACTTTCTACATGCATATTTCAGTGCCAATGATTATGCTCTGTTATACACCCATTATTGATATCCTTTTCCAAATTTGTTAAGTCACTTTTAAAAAAAGTTGTGTGTGTGTATATATATATAATATATATATATCTCATCACAATGAGTTTGGGTGCTCCTTCCCCATCCTGTGTTCACTTTTTACTCCCCGTCACTCACTCCACTCCCCTGTCCCCGATAAACCTTTGCATTGGTTGTCTCTAATCATTCATTCCTTCTGTGTTTCATTAACTGGGAAACCTAACATAAATAATAAAAAACAAGACAAAGAAGAAATAATAATAATATAAAGGTAAAAATAAGAGTAAAAAAGAAAAAACCACAACTATATTTTAAAAGCCAGAGAAGAAATTTCTATCATAGGACAAGCAAGAAATATTTAAGCCTTGAGCAAATTTAGGTTGGGTCAGGAGGAAGGTTGACTGGCCAAGTATAATATCACCCAGTAGTTGGATCCACCATAATCAAGTTTACAATAATGTCTGTCAGATAGTAAAGCTGTTCAAGTCCCTCACCTGTGGCTAGAGGGGACCTGCCAAATCTGACTAGATACTCTGCAGAAAAATGTGGGGCTCCCACTGTCCTCTACAGCCTTCTACAAATTGGGTGTTCACAATTTAAGCTCTGACACTTTGCCCTTCATCCTATAAGGATTTTGTTATTGTCATCTTTGGGTCACACAGGCTAGTGTGCTCCTTCCATGTGGACTTAGTTGATGCGTAACTTAAACAGTTGCTTGTTTGAATACAAGCTTTTAAGAACCCAGAGGTTATTCCAATTGTTTGCCAGGCACCATCCTCTTTCTTCACCACACTCTGCTGCAGCACGCCTTATCTTCATGAAAGTGATCATCAAGCAAGGCCATGTTATATGAACTAATTGTTCTCGGATTGAGGCTAGAAATAAGTTGGAGCCCAGAATTCATCTGCTTGCCTGGAGGCTTGCTTTTGGCTAATGCATTCAGTGCAACTTCAGCTTCTTCTTGCTCAGATGCTACCTCCTGAAATAGTGGAATGTTGGTTAGTTCTTTTTGGCACATCGACTATGTGTATCCTTTCCATCTTTTTTTTTTTTTACGCTTCCTGCTTTCAATATGTTGTCCATAGAATCTTTTAAGATTACAACTCGAGGATTGAATTTTTTCTTCAGTTCTTTCTGTTTGTTTTTCCCTAGGTCTTTGCACATTTCATTATACTATTTGGCTTTGTTTCCTTTAGCTGCATTTAGCTCTTTGACTTCACGGTTTCCTCCATTTGCTTTAGTTACTCTGTGATTAAAAACAAGTTTCAGGGTCTCTTCTGAACCCACTTTGATCTTTTCTTTCTTTCCTGTCTTTTTAATGATCTTTTGCTTTCTTCATTAATGGTGTTCGTGATGTCCTCCCACAGCTCATTAAATCTTCTGCCATTAGTGTTCAACCAATGCATCAAATCTGTGCTTGAGATGTTCTCAAAATTCAGGTGGGATAGACTCAAGGGCCTATTTTGGTTCTCATGTATTTGTTTTAATTTTCTTCAGCTTTATCCTACACTTACATATGAGCAATTGATGGCCAGTCCAGCCCTGGCTTGGTTTTAGCTGCTGATATTGAGCTTCTCCACTGTCTCTTCCCACACATGTAGTCACTTTGATTTCTGTCTTTTCCATCTTGAGAAGTTCATGTGCATAGGTGCATTTTGTGTTGTTGAAAAAAAATATTTGTTAATGGTTTTGAAAAAATTCTGTCATGTGATCTCCAGCTTTGTTTCTATCACCAAGACAATATTTTCCAACTACTGTTATTTCCTCTGTTTCCAACTTTTGCATTTTAATCACCAGTAATTTTCAATGCAGATGATTTCATGCTTGATCAATTTCCCACTGAAGTTATTGATAGAATTCTTCAATTTATTTATCATTCACTTTTGTGTATGGTGCATAATTTTGAATAATAATTGTATTGGTTGGATTTCCATTAAAGCAGATATATACAATCTTATCAGAGACAAAATTGCATTTCATGATTGATTTTGCAATATCCTTTTCTGGCAGTGAATGCCACACTCTTCCTCCTGATTGTGTTATTCCCAGCCTAACCAATACTAATGACTTACTAATTCACTTACTAATGCCTAGGATATCAATTTTTATCCATTCTATTTCACTTTTAATGATTTCTAATTTCCTTAAGTTCATACTTCACACACTGCAAGCTATCCACTGTAAAAATTAATAAAAGAAACACAGAACTATAATAATTAAAAGTAGAATATCAAATGTCAGCAGCTTATAGAGAAGGAATAAGAATTCCCTTCCACTCTCTCATTATTTTCTTATATCTCAGCCTCAAGCAGAGACGAAGAAGAGCAGGAAGAGGAACAAAAGTGAAGCTGTGAAAGGTAAGGTTCTGTCCACCCAACCCACCTCCTAAGGATGAACCTTAACCTCTCCTGCATGTAAGGGTGGCCTTAAATCTTGGGAGTGTGCCAGTTGCTGGAGAATGGTCCTTTCAGGAAACAACACTGAGAAGGAGGTTCCCAGGGAGGACTTCAGAACCTGATACTTCTGCGCTTGTGTGTTGGGCCTTCAGTGGAATGAAGCCATAATGAACCTTGCAGTTGTGGGGCCCATTTGGGGTGGAGTAGGGTATAATCAATGGAAAACTGGTAGATTTGCAGTCAGAACATCAACACCTAGCTAGAACAAGCTGTTTAACTTTGTCAAAGCTCAGACACTTCATTCAGATGTCAAATAGATTAATGGGACACATGGGACAAAACACTTCAAACACATGAACTTTGTCGTGAAGGTCAATGATCATTTGACTTTGGACGCATTATAGATGGAATTATGTCCTTCCAAAATATACGAGGGGAGTTCAAAAAACAAAAACAAAGCAGGAAAAGGCTCTGCTGGGCAGAGATTTCATAATATGCATTTTTCCCACTAGACAAGTATCAAGCAACTTGCTCTGAGTTAGTGCACCCAGTGTCGTCATCTGGGAAGGTTCTCTCTGGTCACAGAGAATTTTTTTCATTACAAAAACTCGTTTGTGATGGCCAATTTAAGAGAGCAGCATGAGGTTGTGAAATTGTTTCTTGCTCGGGAAAAATGGCACAGAAACTGTTGTGATGTTGAACACAGCTTACAAGGACAGGGTTATGGGGAAAACTCATGTGTATAAGTGGATTTCTTGTTTCAAAAAGGGTGAAATGTTGCTTGATTGCAAACCTAGTTCTGGATGTCTGTCAACTTCCCGAACAGACGAAAATGTCAATAAAGTTCATGTACTTGTACTCGAAGATGGATGACAGACCATTGAAGAGATGGGGAAGTTATCTGGACTGTCTTAGGGCTTGGTCCAGCAAATTTTAACAGAAGATTTGGGAAGAGAAGGGTCACTGTGAAATTTGTACCTCGGATTCTGACTGACCAGCAAAACAAGCTTCGACTGGAAACATGCTCTGCTTTGAAAGAACAGCTCCAAACTGACCCAAACTTTTTTTCCCAAGGTCATTACTGGTGACATGACATGGTGTTATTCTTACGATCCTAAAAGTAAACATTAGTCAAGCCAGTGAAAGATGCCATGGTCACCTCGCCCCCCAAAATCTTGTCAAGTGAAATCAAAGATCAAGAAATTGCTTTTTTTTTTTTTTTTAATGTGAGGGGGATGGTGTATTTGGTGTTCTTTCCAACAGATCAGACTGTTAATCAAGCTTTCTATTTAGAGTTTCTGAAAAGACTGAGTAACAGTGTGTGACCAAAAAAAAGGCCTGATTTGTGGCAGACGGGACTGGTTTTGCCACCATGACAATGCCATCTCATTGCTCCCATTTTGGGCAAAAAGAGCATGCTTCTCTTGCCTTACAGACTTTACGCACTTGACCTCACTCCTTGTGACTTCTTTTTGTTTCTGTGACTGAAGAGGGACATCAAAGGACAGCGATTTGATGATGTAGAAGAAGTGAAGAAAAAAACAAGGGAGGTGCTGTCAGCTATCCAAACAGATGAGTTTGAAAAATGTTTCCAAGAATAAAATCACAGATTTCACAAATGTACTTGGAAGGTGATAAGGTTGTTTTGTTTAAAAAAAAAATTAATATATAAATTTGAAAAAAAAATTTTTTTTGGGTGCCACCATGCTATAATCAGAGTTGGCAATGGGTTGTCTTTGTTATGTTGTTGAGTGCTGGTGGTGTAGCAGATTATGTGTTTGATTGCTAACCCAAAGATTAGCAGTTCAAACCAACCAGCCATCCTCAGGAGAAAGATGACGTTTTCTGCTCCTTTAAAGATTTCCGGCTCCAGAAACCCATAAGATCCAGTTCTACTCTGTCCTGCAGGGTTGCTTTGAGCTGGAATCAGCATTTTGGCAGTGGGTTTGAGAGTATTTTTAGGATCTTGACTCATTCTCTTTTGAGATATAAAGGAGATGAAGGAAGTAGAACAGAGATAGGGAAAGATCGAAGCCATAGATCTCATATGGAGCTCTCCACAGAATCAGAAAATGAATCACAGAAGATGAAAAGACAAAACTCGTTTCCCAAAAGTGATAGAGAAATCCTTCTCCTAGATCCAGCTTGAATTGGGACTTTCTGCCTCCTATAGTGTGAGAAAAGACATTGATTATTAAAGCCATCTACTTGTGCCATTTATGTGTTTTAGTACATCAGGAAGGATTTCTGGTGTTGTGGTAGTTAAGCACTCACCTGAAATGTCAATTGGGTTGAAACCCGCTAACTGATCTACAGGGGGAAAATGTGACCATCTAGCTGTTCAGTAAAGAGTATAGCCTTGAAAGCTCTATGGGGTGGTCGACCTGATCCCGTGTGGTAGCTTTGAATTGAAATGGACTCAACAGCCTAGACCTTACCATAGTCTCCTGATTTCCAGCTTGCAGAAGTTGCTTGAAAGAATTACATGAGGCTGGGAGCCTGATTTTGAGTCTGAAAAAGTGAGTAACCTTTTCCCTTCTCTCCAGGTCCTTCATAATAGGGCATTCTGTCTGACCCCATAACTTTAATGAAACTGGGAGTGATGTTGAGGACCCCTGTGGGGAGGGACTATCACAGAATTCTATAGAAGAAGAGCAGGAACTTGGTGATGTCAGGGCATAGGCAGGGGGAGGAGTGATGTCCTAAGGAGGGCATAAGGAGAGGGAGATGATATCATGGCATGGGGAGAGGGCGGAACTGGGTACCACAGGTCGCCCTCCCACCCCCACCCCCCTGTCAGGTCTGCCCAGGCTCTCCCAGCCCTTTGGCTCCTGGGTGCAGCTTGGTCCTCTGTCTCCTACAGCTTCCTAGGAAAGCCCCATGACCAGGGCAGCTCTGATCAGCAGTCATGTCAAGACCTCTCTGGTGGGGTGCGCAAAGGAGTATCTTCTGAAGATCAGCAGGCCTGTGCAGAGCTCCCGGAAGGTGCTGTTCCTTTGGTGTCTGCGGCCTCTCCTTCTGCTTCTACAGCTCCTTCTGCCCCTCAACTTCTGACCTCCGCCCTTTCACAGAACCTAATGATCCTCTCAATTTCAGATCTTTCAACCCCACCACCTGTTCTTCCTCCTTCCCCACCACAACCCTCTGATGTGTTTGCTTGCCTTCAGCCTCCAACATCTGCTTCACCACTTCCACATACCAGTCTGAACCTTTCTCAAAGTGACTCAATGGTGCTCCCACTGAATCCCCTCTCAGCAAATCCCTTGCCAAATAACTGCTGGTTAGCTTCTGTACCAGTGGCCAAAAGCCTTGAACCCTCAAACCGTTCCATATCAACTCTCTCCTGGTGGCAGGCAACTTCCAAGACCTTGGGTTTCTCCACCTTGAAAGACTGTGACTCCCAGCAAAAATATACTTCCTGCCACACTCCAGATGATGCTTTGGGGGGCAATCACACAGACAGGAGCACAGAGACCGGCAACCCCACTTTTTCTACTTCAGATGTCCAGAAGCTCTTGGAAATACAAGTCACAAAGAGAATCGAATTCAAGATTTGGGAGGAAAAGGAACAGGATGGATCATTTCCAAATCAAATTAGCTCAGATTACCACTTGAATTCATTGAGGAATATGTTAAAATCATTGGGTGATGAGCAGAACGCCATGGTCTCCCAGCCCATGTGGCGCTCCAAAGGCACCTCACAGCAGGTGCTCTCATCTCACAAGACTTTACAAGACCTGCAGCAAAAATACAGCCAGCTCTTCTGGGGTCTCCCCTTTCTGCACAGTGAATCCTTAGTTGCTACTGTCAGGGTCGCTGGCTCTTCACTGGAACATCCCTCTGTTTTGTTCAATGGGATCTCCAATGCTTTACCAATCCCAACACAGGCTAAAGTATCCCCTTCACATTACCAGACCCAATGCTTACCGTACCAGGTGGCCCAAATTCAACCTTCCATTTCAACCATGTCCCAATCTCAGGTCCCACATTTAGCTCAGAGCCGAGCTCATCTCCAACCCTCGCTCTCATTCTTACCTTCTTCCTTACCCCGTGGAGTATGTGGCCCCACGGACTGTCACGAGGAACCCTCTCTCAGCTCAACTAGAATCCATCGCCTGGAATGGCCCTTGTTGCCTGAACAGTCACAAAGTAGAAAGGCTTTACCCTCTGTGGCCACAAGGTCTCAAGAAACCATTACTCGTCCTCTCAGTCGTGTCAATCTTCCCCAAGAGAGTTGGTCCTCCGAGGCTCACAAGTCAGACACCATCATCCCTAGAGATTTTATCAGTCCCGAACTCCGGAAGCAACTGGAGCAACATCTTCAAAAGAGGATCATCCATCACCAGCATGGGCTGCCCCACAGGATCCAAGAGTTTCTGGAGCTGACCAAACCTCTGAGAAAATTATCAACAATGTGTCAGGCAGAGGACCACAATGGAACTCCCTGGCCCTCCACACAGACCAGTGAAAGCAACAAAGAGGTACAGGGGATGGGATCCAGGCACCACGGAAGACCCAGGCACTCGGAAAACTTCCATGTATGTGGAGTGGCAAATTTTCAGCTAGGAAGTGATCTGGGCAAGGGTCGGCGGCGTAGTCTAGAGGAGATCCCAAGGCATAAAATACCTTGGAGGTCAGAAACCTGCCAAGGGAGGGTTCTAGAAGTAAACTCTGAGAAGGAACCTAAAAATAATGTGATAAGGCACTCGAGGAATAATTCAGGGAATTACATAGTGAGGGACCCACAAAAGAAACAACTAGAAAACACCCTGAATGCCCATTTGAGCAGGAAGTCAGGGCAGATTATTGAGAATAGCATCCCTGTAGATGTTCGTAAATCCTGGCTTGCCGTGAACCATATCTTGTCTAAATCTGACACCAACACTAAAAATGGAAACCTGGTGTCATTAGAGGGTCAGGCATCCTGCGTCAACACCACCAGGGGGCTTTCTTTTCTCAATGTGGGTACTCGCTGGGTGTTGGAATCACATATTGTAAAGTTTTGGGTAAGACACAGATGGTGTCTACCTCTCAAAGTCCTAAAGCTCATAAAACTCTTTAAGGCAAAAAAGGACAGCCCATCGCCACCTCTGAAGTCCACCTTTTCCTCTTCAACCACCCTTGAGTCTTTGGCTGACTCAAGAGCTGAGGCTGCCAAGTTTTGGGAAGAAAACCCTCAAACCAGCTGGGGAGAGAAAGTGACCCCCCTAAAATCAGCTCTCGTCCTTGAGAGTCCCGTCCCTACCTCCTCACCTGCCAGTGAGGAAGACTGGAAGACCCTGGCATGTCCCTCACCTGTTAATGACCGTGGGTTCTCAGAGATCCTTCGGAGTGGGCAGGAGTTCAGGCAGCCCTTTGATCCCCTCACATCCAGCATCCTAGAAAGATCCTTACAGAACAGGGCTCTCCTGAGGGTCCAGAGAGGCAGTCTACTGTCAATTCCAAATGAAGCCATAGCCAGGATAATTCCAAGGAAGGAGAATGTGGGATGTACCTGTGGAAGTCCAAGGCCCAGTGTCGCGATGTTGACAATGCATTTTAATCCCCAATCTTCAAAGGCTGAAGAGATCGGGGAGGCCTCAGTGGCTGAGGTGTCTTCTGGGCCACAGCTACAGGACAGGGACACCTGGGGAACCAGCATGCTGGCAACATCTCAAAACAGAAATGTAGAACTGAGGGCGTTAGGGCCTTCAGGGGCCAGTAAAAGGTCCCCATCGCCTAAACTGGCTGATCAAGATCTAGAAGAGACTTGCTTTATATCGCCAGGGGTTAGTGAGTTTGGATTCAAATTGGAGTCCGAGTCCGAGAACCCGTCTCAAGACTGTTCCACTAAGATGCTTCTTCAAGACTACGCCAGGGAGGTGCTGGTGGCCGCAGATAACTTGATTTGTCAGATCTCTCAGTCCCGTCCCCACAGCGTGTCCAGTGGAGACATTTCAGCTTCCTATGAACTTATAGAAGCCAGAAGGAGTGGCCTGGAGCAGCAGGAGTCCCAACTGTCAAACCTTCAGGATCCATGGAAGAACCAGGGTGAGATATTTGCTCACAGTCACGAGAAAATCGGCTCTCCCAAGCTAGGAAAGTATCACAGAGGCTTTGCACAACTGGAGGCCCCACAGTCGAGTGTGATGAGCCAACTTTCCCAGGCCAAGGGAGGAGTGGGCGACATGCCTGGAAACAAGCACTTGCAGATCCCGCCCGAGAAGGGAAAGGCTCCCGCAGAGAGCCACTTCCGAAAAAGAATGAAGCACTTTCTTCAGTGGATTTTCCCCAGTAAAAAAGCCAGCAGGAAGGATGACACTTTGCCAAAAGGAAAGCCCGTGCCAAACTCTGCCCCGGACCAGGAAGCAGTGAAAAGCACTTGGGTCTTTACTGACAGGGAGGTTACTGAGGCTCAGGCGCTCATGACAGCTGTTGGCCAAATTCTGGAGGATAAAATTGTGCTTCATGCTTCAAAGTCAAGTGAGCAAAAAGAGGAAATCCAAGAAAGCCAGGCCCTGGTTAGTTGGCGTTCCTCCTACCACAGGGCTTCCTCCCACCCAGGAGGCGTGATGAGCTATACGAGCTGCCATCATCCAGGCACTCCTGCACGTCAGAGTTGTCCCATCAGAGAAAGGCAGAGCAGGGACCCGCATCCCTTGAAGACCACGGCATGGAGCAATGAGAAACTGTGCCTGAGGCATTCTCCGTCACAGTCCTCCTGGAAGTGCGTGTGCCCGGTCAAGTCACAGCTGCATGGATCGAGGATATGGAGTGCCTCCGGTCTCTCTCACCATTGCCCAAGGCACTGCCCTCGGGAATGTGCCTCCTGTGGTCAACTAGAGCACGCTTCTGTAACAGCCTTGCTTAGTAAAAAACCTTCCGCCCAGGGAAATGGTCAGTCCACACTAGGTTAACACATCCTGTCTGCGCTAACAGCTTCTCCCAGGCAAGCTATTTCTGGTTCCTTAATACATACGGTTTTTTTCCTCATCAGAGGGTTGTGATTTCTGTCTGTGCCATATTGTGGTATAGAGCAGGAGACGTCCGTCTGCTTCTCCTGAATATGTGCATTGGCTTATAGAAGTGATGCGGAGGGCATGGAGCGAGGTAGACAGTGGTGTTTCACATCCACCTCCATCCCAGGTTCCTTACACCTGTTCAGGTGTCCTAGTTTTAAGTTTGTTTGTATAATATTATCACTGCAAAAACAAAAACCAACCTAACCAAAAACTCGTGTATAAACACGCAGGATTTGTCAAGATGAAAAAAACTATGAAGACCCTCCCCCAAGAACTGGCTCAGAGTGTGTAAAGATCTGGCTCAGAAGGGGTGGTCAAGATGAGAACAACCTATGAAGACCCCCACCCCAAGATCTGGCTCAAATTGTCTTTCACTGCTTTCTCTCTGCCTTGAATTTGGTTTCCCCCTTTCTTCTTTGAATTTGAGGATGAATACACTTGTTGTGTCACCATGCACAATAGGACTCGAAGCCATTCTGTATATTTACACAGAAACGTTTCAGACTTACAGAATAGGGCAAGGCTTATTAACCAGTGTGGAGAGAAACAAATGCACATTCACATTGTTTAGTGTTGATGGTGGTTTCAATTCTAGAATCCAGCGTGATCATCCCTTGGCTATATAATTCCTCAGGTAAGGTAGCTTTGGGGTTTGTTTTTCTGTGGAGGGCTTGGGAGATGAAGGTAGCTGAAAGTTTAGAGGGGAAATAGTGAGAAATGGATGTTGGGTGTGCTGCACAGAATCCTGCAACTACAAGCCAAGGAATATCAAGGTAGGAAAGTCTGTCAGCCTGTAGATGGTGTATGGTTCTGCCAACATCTTGGATTTCTAGACTCCCCAAAATGCTTTTAACAAGGGCTGGACAGGGGAGATCAAGATGCCAATACAAAGAAACATTTTGTTCTTTCGGGTGAGGAGGAAAGGACAAGGGAAGTGGCACTGAGATCAGTAAAGATGCTACATTCAGTCTTGAAGGATGGAGAAGACAGAGGAAAGCAAGATGGGGCCAGTTTGATTTGAGATCTTTAGGTGAATAATGAATTGACTCCCAGAGGATTTAGAATGTGTGACATTTTCATCCTAAAGACAGAGACAGGTCATCCCTAGCTTGAGGACCTGTGACCTACATTTACCTCGCCTTAGGATGCTTCCCTTAGTCAGTACCTCAGTCCTAAGAGACACAGGACAGGAGGCTGCTGGGAGCTGGCCATCGTATAGTGACACACTGACAAGTAGGAGAGAAGAGTCGGATGGGGCTGGTAGATGGACTCACCTCTGCCCACAATTAAATCCCTCTAAATGCCCATTCTCAGACATCTAAGGGTGATAACACTGGAGCAGTGAAAAAAAAACAAAACTAACCATCTATCTCAAAACTCAAAAGTAAAGACTAAACTTAGAGGGGTGATGGATGATGTGTAACTTGTGGAGGGTACCAGGGCTTCCTGTCTATTCCCTCTCTGCCCCAGATGCTTACCAAGAAGACTTCAATCAATGGGAGGATTCCAGGGATACAGTAGGCCTTGCCCAGCATGTCTAGGCTCTGTTCTCAGAAGCAAGCTTGCTAGAAATCCCTACTTAGGTAATTCACTGTTCGCATTAAGCTCTTCTAGCTTGTCACCGCCCCCTCCCAGTGCCTGTTCAATCGTGGGTCCCAGAAAATGTAGCACAGTTGAGGGGTGCACCCATGGACTACTTACCAAAGAATGGCATGGCAAGGTCCTTACAGCCCTTAGCTGTTGCTCTTGGGAGGGAGCAGAATGCGGTTCCACAGGGGTTGAGTGTACTGACCATTGCGGTAGGCCAGTGAGGTTGCCAGGCCACTGGCTAGTGGAGATAGGGTCAGTTTCTCCGGCAATGACTTAGATGGAAAGATTGTGCCACACAGAGTTCCTGCGGGTAGGCAGACCCTGTCAACACACATCCTTCTGCATGCTTGCCAGAAGCCACCAGTGGTTGGTATCACACCAACATCACTGCACATAGGTTGTAGGTGGACCAGCTAGTGCTGGTTCCAGGTGACTGACTTGAGGTCCCCAGGATAGCTCACGGTCTCTCGAGAGATGCCCAGGGGCAAGTTGACAAGACCTGCAGTAGGCAGTGTGGCTGTAGCCTAATGGGTGTACTCCATGAAATTGACCACATATGAAGGCGTTGGTGTGTGGATCTGTGAGTTGACTCATGCGTGTTTGCATTGATGAGCAGACTGCAGCTGATGGCTGGGGGGGAGGCGGGGGCTGACCCTCCCATACTCAGGTAGTGCTGATACCTGCCCTCCTCTGGCAAAACTGGTTGATCTGCTCGGGTCCAGGGGCTAGTTGAGCTGTAGGGTAACTGCCATTGAAAGGGGGATAGCTGAGGTAGGCATGGTCACATGGGGGCATCTGACTCTAGCCTCTTCCTACCTTCATGCAACAAAGAGTTGGGGGTGCTGGAGACCCTGGTGAGCCAGGGCCTGAGGGCAGAACAAGCCCTGGGTGTGGGCCATGGGCTTAGAGTAACCCAAGCCCACAGCTGTTGGAGGCTCTTAGGGTGGGGCAGCACCTGGGGTGGCAGGACACTGAGGACACTGCAGTGTCTAGGGAGAAGCCTGCACCAGGGGTGGGCTAAAGTGCTGGCCGCCACAGCAGCATAGGGGTGAGTGTAGCATAAGGTTCATAATTGCCTCAGGAAGCAGACTGGCCCGAATGCCTCAAAGATGCTTTTGGTCAGCACTTTGACAATGGTAAGCAAGTCGGCCATGCTCGGTGGCAGTCTGAGTCAGGTAGTGGCTGTAGCGCTGCTCGGGTTGACGTGTGGAGGCCATTCACAGTAGGACAAATGTGTTCCAGGTGGGGAACCCCCACAATTTCTGAAGGCCATCGTTCATATGTGTGTGAGCAAACAGTTGTAAGGGCAAGCTAGCATGGCAGACTGGTGTGAACACCATAAAGGGCAGTCACGCACCCTTGTGCCCAGGAAAGGCTCTACAATGCTCGCTGGGGCTCCTGGCTCTACCTTGCCTGCCTGCCCAGGGCAGCTCAGCCCTCCTCACCCCCTACCCAGGGGATTGGGTTCTAGTGGGCTCTACAGAGAGGAGGCAGCAGCTGAAGGTGCTAGGCTTTCGGAGCTCAGCGCTCTGCAGTGCACCGACCCCTCCCTCCCTCTACCTCAAACTTGATTCAGCTCCTGGGGGATGGGCTTGCCGAGATCTAAGAAGAGTTGGCAAGAGAAAGAGGAGGCTGTCTGTTCCTGTGAGGATGTCAGTCTTAGCCACCCTAAGGAGGAGCTCTACAGTCCTACAAGGTCCCCACGCGTCGACATCGACTCCATGGCAGTGAGGGTGATTTGGAGTTGAAGTAGTGGGATGAATTTCCCCACTCATGCTCCAACAAGTGTTCCACCAGAGTAGCTTCACAGGTCACAAAGTGGGTATGGAACATTTAGGAGCTTCCAGTAGCCCCCCTTCCCGTGGCTCTACCAGTGCCCCCCCCTCTTAGCTTTGCTGTGAGAACATATAAAGTCACACACCACCCCTGCTTCTGTATCTCTCACATTCCAAAGAAACAGTAAGGATGGAACTTTTAGCTCTGCGACATGTGGGTGGGAGCTTCCAGGGTGGCTACCCATTAAGGGTTAGCACCTAATGAAGATGCAACCTCTTAACAGTCCCGTGGAGGGGTTACCTACATTCTTCTTTATCTAAACCAAGAGCGAGAGCCGTGTGTATACTCGCCACTGACTATCGGGCACTGTGGGACTAGTGTGGGGTGCAGTAAAGAAGAATTTAAAGGGCTGGAATCATAGAGAAGGCAAAGCGGTTTAGGGATGATGCATTAAGCAAGGAGCCACCTGAAGGCTGCCTCACTATCTTTAAGTCTAGAAGGGGAGAGAAGGTAGGGACCAGGTCTCCACCCTGTTAAGCTTCCAACTCAGCAGCCTTTATGTCCTATAGAAAAGACCAGGCTTACACAGTAAGTGAAGCCTTCAAGCATGGAAGTTGGCTTTCTCAATAATATAGTACAATGGCACACTGTTTTCTCCAATCCTCACCTCTGAAGTGGTAGAAAGATGAGTTAATGGGGGAAAGCCAGGATTCGGGAACTCAGAGAAGTAGAAGATAAGTGACTCCCAGGATGGTGCTCTTCACACACATGCACTTCAAAAAATTCTCCCGAAAGCCCAGAAGGTGGGAGCATGAAGGGGCTGAGGGCCACAAAGCAAGTGACACCTGGCTCCCAGTCCTTGCTTACTGCAGAGCTCTATGGAAATCAGGATGTGCACTCACAAGGAGATCATGACATGTCTAAATAGGACACAGTCCAAGCACCCCTGTCTTCCCTCAGCTTCCAGGACAGGTTTTCCTTGTTTCCAGGCCAGGAGCAAGGACTCAACACGAGCAAGGAGCCTGGTGCTATGGACTCGGCCCTGGGTTCTTAACTGCACAGCCTGCAATTAAAATCCATCAACTACTCCTTGGGGAAAACATAGGGCCATTGGCTCCAGTAAAAGATTCACAGTCTCTAAAAGCCTCCATAGGCTGACTATGGGTTGCAATATGTGAAAGTCTGGGTACTTTAGAGAAACAAATCCACCGAAACTCATGTATAAGAGTTTTATATAAAGGTTAAGTGCATATCAAGAAAACATCCCAACCCAGTGCTGCCCAAGCCCACAAATCCAACATTAACCCATTTGTCCAACACCAATCCACAAAGTCCTCCATCTCACAAAGCACATGCAATGATGCCGACTGCAGGAGGAAAGCCGAGTCAGTGAATGTGTAAGCATCTCAGTGCTGACAGGGGTCTCCACACAGCTACTCCAGCACCCAGGGCTGTATCTGGGGAGGTTCATGTGGCTTCTCCTCAGGGATGTCTTGCAGGAAGTGAGCCTTGCCAGCTAAAGCAGGGAACTGCTAAGGCACCTGCACCCTGGTCCGACCATCAGAAAGCAAGAGACTCAAGAACTAGAAAGGCGAGGCTCACCGAGCCATTTATCCCTCCACCCTTCAATTAACCCCGCATGTGTTTATCAGCCAGGTTGGGACAATAAACTATCTCACAATGGAATCATCTATGGCAGTGGGTTTTGCTTACTTTACACACATGAGAAGGCAAAAAGGTTCCCTCAAAGTAGGACAACTGATTAGCGAATGCTTTGTGTGATCAGTTTCTACTGGAACCAACTCCGGGGTAAAGTGTCATGGTTCTGTTTGATACTGATGGGGACAAGAACACTGAGACTCCCTTTTCTTTTACCCTTCACTATCCTTCACCCTACTCCGGCCTCCCAGTGTTTCCATAACTTCCCAGACATTGTACGGCCAGTCATGAAGAGGTGTTCCACAAAGAACTCACAGGGGCTCTCCTTAAAAACCCACAAAAACGTTCTGCCCAGATAGCCTCCCAAAGAGAACTTTCAGTGGACCCCCACAGAGAAATAGCACAGAGACCCCGCAAGGAAACAGATTTTGAAGAGAACCTCACAAATTCCCCACAGATATCTCTCACAGAGACCTTAGAAACCTCCGGCAGGTTTCTGCACAGAGACTTAACGGGGACCTCATGAAGAGACCTTGACACAGCTTCATAAACCTACTCTCCTACAGAGACCCCAGAAAGATC